CATCGCCGACGCGCTCCGACAACTGCTGTAACCCTAGAACCATTGCCGCTCTTTTTCTGTCCGTACCTTTCCCTGCCTTCTGCTCGCTCGCATCGCCGACGCGCTCCGACAACTGCTGTAACCCTAGAACCATTGCCGCTCTTTTTCTGTCCGTACCTTTCCCTGCCTTCTGCTCGCTCGGTCGATTGCCGGCGCGCGCCAAAAAGCACTGTCTTTTCTTTTGTATGGGCCGGCCGGGGACTTGAATGGGCTGAAAGCATTTGCACTTCCGTCTTTGCCCACGTCAGGTTTTTACTTTTTTTTTAAGGATGTTACAAACTCTCAATTATAACCCTAAACTCTAACATTTTATGTACTAAATAGTCGGATTGAAAACCCCGACTATTAAGGAATCAGATTAAAAAAAATAGATCGATTTTTGTAAAAAAAACTCAATGGGATCGGTTTTTTTTTTAAGTGAATTTTATTTAGAAAATTTCTTCTTTTAGATACCAACATTAATTTATGGGTTTTTTTATAGAGTGTCCATGGGCACTGTATAGAAAAAGAGAGAGATGATTGAGGAGAGGGTCCACCTGATTTGTATAGAAAAAGAGAGAGATAATTGAGGAGAGGGTCCACCTGATTTGCATTGAGATCCCCTCCACAATCATCCCTCTCCTCTTCTATAGATCGATTTTTGTAAAAAAAAACTCAATGATTGAGGAGAGAGATGATTCGAGGTTTTCAATATAAATTTGCGCAGGAGAACGCACAAATTAGGATGCTACTTTTGTCACAAAAACATAGAGCATCAATTAAGTTCCAACATCCCAATAACTTCTTCAAGAACATCAACGAGAAAATCATCAAGATGACAAAATGTGGAATCAACGATTTGTGACATTACTTTTGCCATAGCCTTGGAAATTGATGATTTTGGCATAAAACTCCGACATTTAACTCAGATTAAGATTCAAATACTAATCTCGCTACGAACACAATAATACGGTTCACAAAAAATTGAAGTTTCAGTACATCAATGACTTCCACGTTAAGGGATGGAGCTGTTCTCTAAATTCATCATCGAAACGTCGAAGCATTTTCCCAAGGAGAAGATACTTCTACTACGCCACGAGAGTGCTGGCAGTTGTAGATTCACTGTAAAGGAACAAAATAATTGAAGTTAATAATCTCATAAAACGGCTAGTTATAATATTTAAGAAGGCTCACTCAAAATAAATTTAAGGGAATAGTGGAAGTCAAGATAAATATGACAGCATACTTATCAGGGAAAAGAAAATTCATCCGCATGCATACAATGTTTTGAATCTTTCAAGTTGAAATTTGACATTACCTTGGTAACTTTACTTGAAAAGAATGGTTTTTTTCCTTAATTACATTAGTAAAATGAATTAAATTATAGGAGCTGATGGCAACTGCAAAATTATTGTAGAGAAATTAAACTTTCAGGTGATTTTATTACTATGTTGAACAAAGAAGGCAAATTATCTCATGATGAACCTAAAAGTACACAGAAAAAAGAGAGAATAGCCTACAAATGATGCGCATTTCTGAAGCAAAGAGCTCTTAGTCACAAAGAACAGTATGATGTGATTTTCTAGTTGTAAAGTAGAAAGTGAATGCAAATAGTTGATTGACATATTGTGGATTCAATAAAAATAACTCAAGTTGGCTATCATGGTATCATTTCTCCATGCAGATATTAACATGATTGACGGCAACAGTTGCAAGAATCCAAACAAAGAGAATTCATGCATATTGAAAGATCAATAACATAAGAGCATCTGCAAAGTTGTTTTTAACGCTATTGTGGAAAGACAACGCAGTTTCTTGTCACATCATTTACCCAAGTTTTCTGTAATTTATCTTCCACCAATTTCAATTCCATGCGACACCTACAAGCGATTTACTGGGAGCAATAACTGTATGGCAGTGAGCAATTGGATCATTCATTTTCCAACATCCAATTAAAGAGGATCACCGAACAACAAAAGATTTGTCAATTTTTCGTTTTTGTAGGTTTGAATCACAAAAGGTAACAGATATGTAACAGAACCTCATAGGGAAAAATTTTGAGGTTGCTTTTGGATCTCAGTAATAAAATGGCGTCTTCCAAGCCAGTCAAGGCTATTGCAGAAAGATAACGCAGTATGTCTCACATCATCGATCCAAATGCTAAAGTTCGGCTTGAACTGACAATTATAAGAGAAGGTACCACTAGATGCAATGGGGTGAAGGATAATAACTGTAGATTGTGCGTTTGAATCACAAAAGGTAACAGATAAGTAACAGAACATCAGAGGGAAAGAATTTGAGCCTGCTTTTGGATCTCAGTATTAAAAAAAAAGCATCTTCCAAGCCAATCAAGGCTATTGCAGAAAGATAACGCAGTATGTCTCACATCATCGATCCAAATGCTAAATTTTGGCTTGAATTGACAATTATAAGAGAAGGTACCACTAGATGCAATGGGATGAAGGATAATAATTGTAGATTGTGCGTTTGAATCACAAAAGGTAACAGATAAGTAACAGAACATCAGAGGGAAAAAAATTTGAGCCTGCTTTTGGATCTCAGTAATAGAATAGCATCTTCCAAGCCAGTCAAGGCTATTGCAGAAAGATAACGCAGTATATCTCACATCATGGATCCAAATGCTGAAGTTTGGCTTGTACTAACAATTATAAGAGAACTAACAGAAGTTACCACTTGATGCAATGGGGGTGGAGGATAACAATTGTAAATTGTGCATCTGAAGGACGAAAGGTAACAGATAAGTAACAGAACATCAGAGGGCAGTAATAAAATAGCATCTTCCAAGCCAGTCAAGGCTATTGCAGAAGATAACGCAGTATGTCACATGACTGATCCTATGCCGTGGCCAGTATGGGTCGGTTTGGCTTGCACTGACAATTATAAGAGAAGGTACCACTAGATGCAGTGGGAAGAAGGATAATAATTATGGATCAGTTATTTTTTATAGTTACATTTCTGCCTACGCTAGATATTTCCTAAGTCCCCTCAACATGGTTCTAAACCAATTACTTTGGTTTAAGTTAACCGTTCAAAAATTAGTAATTCTAGGTCAACTCATTTTGGTTTTCACCGACAAAGATCTAAATTAAACACCAATCTTATATACTATAAGAATCTAAAACTCTATTCTCTTAACGCTTACAATCCCAAACCATCTCCTAATATTTCAAGACCTCGTGTGTCCAGTTCAATATTACATTATGACCATACTCATACAACGTAACAAAGGGTATTCAATTAAGTCAACATGAAAAATTTTGTTATGGTACAACAGAAAAAAGTGAATTTGAACTATCCAAGAAAACAATCATGATATCAAGAAATTCACACAAACTTACAGTAGGCATAATTATGTACAAAAAAAAGTGTCACCAGTTGATTCGAGTAGCCAACAAGATAATAATTAGATACAAAATTAAAAACATATAGCACGACAGGGATACAGTCGCTGCTGCATCCAAGGAGCAGTTGCATACTATTAAAGGGAGGAAACAAAAATAAATGCTCCAACCGTTGACCTATTCAGTTAATTGAGTGGGAATAAAATCAAAAATGATAACGCACTACAAGTATCACTTACTATTTCCACACCGGGGGGAGCTTCTTGGTCCTCTTGTAGTAGCGAGCAAGCCGATGAATCCTGCTCTCCACAAGGATCAACCTGAACTTGGAGTCCTTGTCCTTCCTGTTCCTTTCCAAGTGCTTTCTAATGGCAACAGCCTTCTTTATCAGATGGTACAGATCCTCAGGGATCTCCGGAGCAAGCCCTAAATAGCATTTAACAGTAATACACATCAGTAACAGGGAAAAAACATTATACAAATTTAGTAAACTAAGTTACATCACAATATTAAGACTTAAGTGTATCAGCAAGAGAAAGTATTTCCGTTTTTTAGACGTATTACATGAACATATGCAATTAACAAACATTTACTACTAGAATTAAAACTTCCTTTTGAAATATAAATTTCCAATTCCAGGGTACATGCCCAGAAAGAAATGAATTTTATATTCTAATCACAATTGCAATACTTCTCAAAATGCCACTATTTTAACAAAAGAACATATGTGCTCAAAGAAATGTATATACTCTTAAAACTCTCAAGCAGATACAATAGTGCTGACTTCTGATGATACAAACGTACACTTTACGAAAGCTTTGATGATCTACAGGCAGATAGAAGATGGCAATGGGAATTCAACTTTACATTACGATTCAAAATAGTAAACGTTATGCTTCACAATAGTTTATTGGAGAACATGCATCGTCAATAGTTCATGTTAATATAATAAAAACTACAAAACTATAAAACGAAAACTCATAACTTCTATCAACAAATACTAATTGGGCAGATAAATCGCAGCTATATAGTGCATCATTTTGTCATTATTCATCGGAAATAAACAGTAATAATACTAAAATTTACTCAAAACTAGAAAAAGGCCATACCATGCCCTTTCAGGATCCTGATGGAGTTTTTGAAGGCTTGAAGACTTGGACATTCGGATCTGATTCTCGGTGAGCACCCGCATCACAAAAAAGGCAGGAGTTTGAGGGGATCAAGATCTCAGATCTATGTTGTTACACTCCGGATCTAAGCTTGGTCTTAGATCCCGAGACTTGGACGATTGTTTCCTTGGTGAATCAATCCTCCCCGGCTATTATTTCCTTCGTGAAATAATACCCGTTATACTGCGTAGATCTGTCCGGATCTAGATCGTGCGGTGGTCCACGGCAAACAACCCCGGCGCAGGCAAAGAACCCACAAAGCGAGCGACCGCAAAACAGGAGCTCGCGATTTGTTCACAAGAGGAAAGTTGTAATTTTTTACTTTTTTTCTTTGATTTAGTTGTAACCGGATCTATAAAAGACCGGATCTTTGTAATCCAAGATGACAATTATCTCATTAATGAAGAAAGATACAGTTTTCCACGCGAACAAGTATCACTTCAACTACCCATCACCTAGTGATCAGTTAGCTGATCGGCGGCGGCGGAGAGCGGCGGGAATTAGGGTTCTCTGGATGGCGGCGGTTTTGAGTGCTGAAGAACTTTGCGAGGGTTTTGATGATCATCCATATATGCGAGAGAAAGATGCTGAATACCGAAAATATCCTTGGGCTGAAAGAGATGGGCCTGGCTTCAGCTGGTCTTGGGTTGGAGTAAAACTTCTAAAGTTGTATATTTGCTTTAAAATGGGCCTGGATTGAGCTCGGCCCAAACAAATATCCCTTTCCAATCGAATTATTATTGGACCTTTTCCTGGATGCCACCTTGTATTTATATGCTGCTAAAATTTGCACGAAATCCCAAAAATACCCCGATTAATCTCGCATAGAAAGCTTGCAGAGCATAAAAAAAAAAAAAGAAACGTGCGTGCTTTACACATGAGATTAAGGGGCTGTTTGGTTGCACACTTTTTGAGAAAACTTTTTTCAAAACATCTGACAATGGCAAATTTGTAATTAAAATTTTTTCAGAGATTTCTATAAATTGTGTTTGGTTCAACAAAAAATTTACAAAAATATTTTCTATAAAATATCAAAACCTACCAAATTTAAGGAGGGATTCGAAGATGGCTGGAACGTCTTCGTCCTTGAAGGAATACTCTCTTTGGAGTCTCGGACCGAAAGCCTTTTGCTATTTTCGGAGTTGCTTTTGCGACGTCTGGTTAGCACCATCAGCAGCTGCAGGTGCCTTGTCCTTACCACGAGAGGCGAAGTTTGAGTTCAGTGGATTAACCGTTGGTCGGTTCCTCTCGGCCTTCTTCCTTCGGAGGAAGCGTTCGGCTTGTTCACCGTGCACCTTCAAGTCTTTCCAAGTGTCAGACGGTGCTGTTCCCATTGCTTCCAACACGTCCAGTGCAAGATTGTTGTGGCAAGTCTGGAGAATGAATTCCTCGGTTATTGGGTCCCGGCAGTTCATCGCCTTGTGCCGGAACCTCTTGACGAAGGTGTCGACTAACTCCCCGTCTTTCTGCTTCTCATCGAGCAATGATCCGATATTGGTTCAACAAAAAATTTACAAAAATATTTTCTATAAAATATCAAAACCTACCAAATTTTACAAAAAACAATTTCCTCTTAGGGGGTGTTTGGTTCAATTTCTAGAAATTATAGGAAATGTTTTCCACCTAAAATATGATTTTCCGGAACCTCTTGACGAAGGTGTCGACTAACTCCCCGTCTTTCTGCTTCTCATCGAGCAATGATCCGATAGATATCTTGGCGTCGTCGTCGAAGAAATTGGTGAGGAACATGGTCTCCATATCGTCCCAGCTGTTCACGCTACCTGGCGTGAGGCGGCGATACCAATCGAAGGCGGCTCCGCGAAGAGTGCCGACGAATGACCGCACCATCAGAGGCTCATTGCCAGAGATTACCCCCAGGTGTGATTTGAAATAAATCACATGCTGAGTGGGCGAACCCTTCCCATCAAACGGCGTGAAGTTAATTAGGTTGAACTTCGCCGGATATGGGATCGATTCCCACTCTCTTGGGTATGGACAGGGAATGCCTGTTTTCTTCGTCTCTTGAGCGGAGATCAATGTGTTGATTTTGCTCTCGAGGTTCTTGATCTTCAGACTTTCGCCTGTGTTTTCATTAGCACGATTCTGAGGCGATTTGATTTAGATATAAATTGAAAATACAGTACGACTTAGCGTTAATTGACCCTAAAATATAAAATTATTTCTAGAAGGGGGTAAAATACCATTATTATTTAAACTTATTTATTGTAAATAAGTGAAATAGCTTTTTTTTTTCTAATTTCTCATTATCGACCCCTTGCTAATTTGAACCGAACTAAAGCATAACATCATGCCAAAATAGAAACTAAACGGATATATCATACACCTCTTTATTATAAAAATAGGGTGATATACAAAGTTAAAACCCTCACGAGGGCCTCAAGAAAATTAACCCCCTCTCCTGCTCTCTCGTTTCTCCTCCCGAAAGATGCCGAGAAAGAAAGCAACCACGCCCCAAAAACCCCTCCTCGTGTAATTCCTCCTCCTCCTCTTCCTTTTTTGCAGTTTGGCCCCCGTGGACTCGGCGCAAATTTTTTGGCATGGTGGGAGCCCCGACGGGAAGGGGAAGGGCCAAAGAAACTTGCTTATCAAGAACGCGCGCCATGGCAAGCTCATAATGAGCATAAGAAGAAGAAGAAGAAGGTCCGGCGATCTTCTCATCTCCACCGTCCGTCCTCTGACCTTACGCGATCACGCTCGGCAAGCCAATTGCCAGTCTCCCCCTCCTGCTTCTCACTCTCACTTACTAGCTCCTGCACAAAACCCTGTTAAGTTCGCCCCCGTTTCTCAAATACCCGAAGCGGAAACCGAAATTGAAGGGAATGACATTTAGGCACGTAACTTATTATTCTCTTATTTTTTTCTTGATTTTCCGCCAGCGCGGAGAAGCTGCCGGGAGCTCGCACGAGCAGTGCGAGGAGAGAGTTCACGAATCCGCACGCCCGCCGCCGCAGATCTCCCGCAGCTGAAGCTCAAGTGGGCCCTCGACTCCGCTCATCGATCCCCACCTCCAGAACCTCCGGCCCACATCACGCTCCGCGCCGCCGGGCCCTCCCACGTGCCCCGCGTGTCTCCCCCCGTGGGACAGCTCCTCGCTCACCGCGGCGCACTCCTGCTTCGGCTGCACAGTGGCGCCCTCCGCTGCGTCTCCTCTTCCCTTCGTGGGTGCGCCCTGTCCTCCGGCCTCCTGCCCCCCGGACCGCAGCGTTTTCGAGGAGCACACGGAGGTTCAGGATCGAGGAGGCGGTGCTGAGAGAGGAGATGTTTCGGAGTACAGGCGCTGTCGGTGGGGCCTGCGGGGACCGGGGACCCGGAGGCGAGGGAGGAGGAGTGTGTTGGGAGGAGGCGAGAAGGTGGAGCGCGGTGGTGGAGAGGGCGGGGAGCTGGAGGATACAGGGCGGTGGAGGGGCGGTGAGGGGGGGGCGCTGGAGGAAGGCGCAGGCGGCCGAGTTATCGCTTGGCGCTGGGCGGGGTGGAGGACGCGGCGAGGAGGGCCGGCGGAGAGGTGCGCCAGGGCGGCGGGCAGTCGCCGTTGAGCCAGGCGTTTTGACTGATCCGGAGGGTTCTGTCACGAATTTTCCTCTTGACGTTGGTTTCTTTTTTTTTTTTACCCCCCGTTGTTTTTTGGTTTCTTGTTCTGGCGGGAAAATGTAACTCTCGAGACATTGCGGTTAAATTTCCTTTGATTGCGATTCCTTTTGGTTTTGTCTCTTTTTTTTAACTCTTTTTTATAAAAACAAGGAGTTAAGAGCTTTTTTTTTTCTTTTTTATGTGTTGCTCAAGATATAGTAAGCCTTGGAAATATTGGGAGCGAAAGACTCCGAAAGGCCGCACCAAATTTGGACCAATTTGTAAAGAAAAGAAAGGGATTGGGTGAAAATAAAATCCAATAAAAAGCGAAACTGCTCAAATCTCATAAAAGGTCATGGTAAAAATTAGGAATTCATAAGACTTTGCTAACAATCTGAACATTGGGATTGTTTGCTCACTGAACACTTTTTTTCTTTTTCTTTCTTTCTTTCTTTCTTTTTTTTTTAAATAACCCAGTCCGGAAGTCTGGAATCAAAACCAAGACCGGGAAAGCCATGTTGAAATCTCTCAACCATCCGAGTTACCCGCGCTAGGTATGGCCGCCCTTTGAACACTAGTTCGCGCACAAACAACAATTATAAACCAATAACGCCAAAATGCAAAGTCTACAGTCCAATCCGATACCAATGACATCAAAGGGCAAAGGGCAATGTTTGTGGACGATCTAAATTCCAAACCGATGGCATCCACCTCGTCGAAAAGAAAGAAATATCAGTATCTTATTATGAAACAGCTGAGCAGAGAGAGGCTATGCAGGTGAAGTATGAGAAATCACAGAAGATTTTTTTTTTTTTTTTTTTTGCACATTTCTTCAAAATAGAAATATAGACAACAATAGATTCATACATTAGCTCACACCCCCAAGGATTAGAGTAAGGTACAACCATAATGCACCATAAATTCAAAAGAGGCAAAAGAAAACAAATGTACCAATAGGCTACAGATGGTTTCAACATTAATAAATAGAAAAAGCAAAGGTCAAAAACGTTTTGACGATAAAACAAGCAGATCAACTCCTAAGCACACCAACACCAATTCTAAAGAGTCACATTCTTCAATCTTGATTCGATCTGCAAACGCATTTGAAAACAAAAAACAAAACGTTAATTGTGTGAGGATAAAATTCAGGGGATACCAAACTGCGATTCCAGAAAATAACATAAATTCTAACAGTAAGAGAAGTTTGATAACTAACAGAATAAATACAGAATTCTGGATATATTATCAGAATAGTTTCTGCTGAAAGAGATTTTCCTTCAGTTTGACAATGAGACCTTAAAGTTTTTTGGATGGACCTATCAGCAATTAAGATTTTGTGCATCATGGTCGAACCAGGCAATCAGCACATACAATTCGGGGATACCAAACTGCAATTCCAGAAAATAACATAGATTCTAACAATAAGAGAAGTTTGATACCCAATATAATAAATATTAGAGTAGTTTATGCTTAAAGCTATGTTACCCGGGACCTTCTATCATTAAGTCGTACCCGTACTGGTACTGGACACGTACCTGACACTTTTCCATACCTAAACTTCATAGACACTTAGTGAATATATGCATACATTTATTATGGCATGTACTCGATTATACATTATATGTTTAAAACACTCGTCAAACTTCTTAGACGTATAGCTTACACTTCACAAACATTTTTTGAAACTAGTTAGATATGGGTCGGGTTCGTTTCAACCCATATTCAAGTTCAAAACTATATAGTTAAAGGGTTGTTTGGGTGTTTAGTTAAACAAATGAGCAATTTCTAATTTATAATAATCAATATGATAAAAGAAACTTATAAATGTGAGAGCAATTTTAATTTTAATGACACATGAACTCAAAAAAAAAAAGATCTCGTGTACATTTTTAATTCAATATATATATGTAGTCATGTCCCCATACCCTACAATATATAATTTTGTCGTGTCCCGTACCCACATCCGTACCAATACCTGTATCCGTTTCCATGCAACTCGGGCTTAAAGAGATTCTCCTTTAGTTTGACAACGAGATCTTAAAATTTTATAGATGGATTATACAGAATCCATCGTGTAATCATTATGGCGTAATATGGAGGTAAGGACTCTATGGCAGTTAAGATTTTGCACATCATGGTCAAACCAGGCAACCGGAACATATGTTCAGTTTGAACCCTACAGAATGTGTTTTGTGTGGAAATGAGCTGAAGTTTTCTCAATGTAAGACATTTTACAAGGTAGCTCATATTCTATTATGGATCCTTCCGACGGTTCACCTTAGAGCTCCTAAATGCTCTGTAATAAACTACACCACAATAAATATAAAGAAAAAGGATAAAACTATGCCATGACTCCTTGTATTCCGGTCATTTTTACTAAAACAGCCCTAAAACAAAAGCAAAGACCTAGTTAACAAGAAATAAAGTGAGGAACTTCGTTCATGGTAAACTTGTGTATGTTTTGGTTAATTTTTGCCCACATTGACCTTTGCGTAAAAATTAAAACATAAGACTTTGAAGCACTCAGTTTACAGATGGATCTTCTTCAATATCAAATTTATATCCAAGTGATATGTATATGTATATGTATACATGTACATATGCATTCATAAATACATACATACCCAATCCATATCCATCTAGAAGTATTCGAATATGAAGCAGTTAGAAGGTTTCCCGATGCATTTACATCTCTCCTTGCATAAGATAACAATACTGTTGGAAGCTGTAATACAGACGAAAATATAGGTATCAGACAACCCCCCCCCCCTGCCCCCCCCCCCCCTTTATAACAGGAACATATTGGATATTTGCGATTTACATTTCCAGACCTATTGTTCCGAAACAACGGATATAAAGGCCATGTTGCTTTTGTTATTGTATTTACATCCCTGCTTGTCAAGATTAGAGTATACTCAGTATAGAAGATATTGGATAGCTACAACATACATTTACATCAATACTGATCCCTGAAAATTTGGGACAAAAGATTTGTTGTTGTTCTCATTGTAGCATCTCTGCTTGTGTCATGTATTAAACTGTTGGATATTCGTGACATACATGTAGGTAGCCTATTGTCCCAAAAAAAATGGATAGAAAGGCTATTTTGTTTTTGTTTTTGTTTTTGTATTTACATCCCTACTCGTCAGGATTAGAATATAGAAGATATTGGATAGTTACGACATACATTTGCATCCCTACTTATCCCTTAAAAAATGGGACAAAAGCATTGTTGTTGTTCTTATTGTAACAGCTCTACTTGTGTCATGTATTAAACTGTTGGATATTCCTGATATACATTTACGTTTCCTCCTCCATCTCACTCACACCTTCTAGTTTCAAAAACCAACATTTGTCATTAGTAATATTAGCAAATCAGAATCTGATAGATTATTCATTCGTTGTAGAACGTGGTCTTTACAGTTCCATGACAACATATTCTTTTCCTAATAATTGCCTTGACCAATAATTTTGACGGCAAAGGAAAGATGGTTGATGAGAGAAAATAAAAACCTGGCGATCTTTAATGGATCCCTCTAAAGTCTACACACACTCCTCACCAAAACATACCGGTGATAATATGGCGGTAAAAGGGGATATTTGCCAAGTATAGAAAAGGAGTAACAAGGAGAAGCATGAGGAAGGAGAATGCAGTTATACTTCTAGTGATATGATGACCGGTTGCTGCTCTGATTAAGGGTATACCTAAGCACAAGATAAATGAATGAACTAATGCAGAGGACATATGCAGATTTTAGGATATATGCAGACTGTCATGGCTTAAAGTGATCTAAGATAACATTTCTGCAGTGGAAGTTTCATAAACATGTGTGGGCTGGGCATTTATATGCAAGTATACTCTCATATTAGAAATATTCAAAAGGTTAAGAGTTTAAATAGAAAGTTATAACCAATCCAAACATCTTAATTTGTTTGACTACTTTGGTTCCCAAACTATATTTGAAGCTCATCTAACTCTCAGAGAGACTCAGGTTAGTCTCCAGGAGATCATATCAGAGAACATATTTTGCACTGTTGTAAAAAGCGGGGAATAGCGGCGCTATAGCGCCGCTATTCGCGGAAGCGGAGGAGAACCGCTCCGCTTAAGGTTCTCGCGGCACATCTACGCGGGGAAAACCGCTTTTCCCTCGAAAAGCGTCTTAATGCGCGCAAATAGCGCTGTTTAGCGCTTAAAAGCGCTGTTTAGCGCTCAAAAGCGCTTAAAAACGCTAAACAGCGCTATTTAGTTCGGCTAAAAATCCTACCCGAACCCGAAACCGACCCGAATGTATATTAACCCCCCCTCTCTCGCTCTCGCCTCTGTATCCCAAGTCCCGATCCAAGCCCTAACCGCCTCCTCTCATCGCATCCNCGGTCTTCGAAGCCGCCTCCGCCTCCAGCCTCCGCCTCCGCCTCCGCCTCCGCCTCCAGTCTCCACCTCCGGTCTTCGAAGCCGCCTCCGCCTTCATCTCTGCCTCCTCTTGCGGCTATCTCTCTAGGACCACTCCACTCAGGTTATGACTTATCTGATCCTTTCTCTAATTAGGGTTAGGGTTTTGAAACTATCATCGGTTATTTGATTTTTTTTTTAAATCAGCGTTTGAGACAGTTAGCTAGTTTTTTCATGGCTAAGGTTAGGATTAATCAGATTAATAAGTTTCAATGTTGTGCTTTCTTGTTGATTTGTGCTTCCGGTCAAAAAAAGTCCCTTTTGAGATAAAATTAGGTTTATGTTTATTTTTTCCTTAACAGTCTTGTTTTAGGTTGCAATTATTGTTGGTTAGTTGATAATTGTTGTTGGTTAATTAAACAATACAATTGTCTTGTTGGAATTATACTTTTGTTATTTGATATTAAACTTAGGGGTTTAGATTGTTCTGGTGATTGTGGAGTTTGTACTATATTTAATTAAATTAGCTTGTCTTGGTGATTTTGTGCTCCTGTCTTGCTGGGGAGCTATTGATGAAGATCCATATGCATAAGACAAAGATGAAGAGCCAACTCTCAAATATGATGGAGTAAATTAGCTTGTCTCGGTCATTTACATAATTTTTCATTTTCATGGTATTTATTTTTCATGGTATTTTTTATATAATTTTTCTTGTTATTTAGAATATTTACATATATTTATATTGACCGCTATTTGACTGTGCGCTATTTGCCGCTTTTTCGCCGCAATAGCGCGCAATAGCCTTAGCGGTACCTCGCCGCGACGCGCCGCGATCCGCGATCAACAACCTTGATATTTTGGTTCAAAAGCAAGATTCGCAGTGAAGCCCAATGGTGTGGCCCAAGTAGGGAGAATGTTCAAGGCCAAGTTAGCGCATGAATGGTTGAGTCCATACACAGGGGAGATAGTGTGCATGCTCTCATACCCATATTCAGATCTATGGGTTTGTCGACTTAAAACAAATCACGCTAAGGTCTGCTAGCCCACTTACAGTGAAGTTTCCATGGACCTTAGCATTTCATGACATCCTCCCATAGAAGTCAGTTTAGACAAAGTCAGGTATGTCCAAAAGCGTCTGAGATAAGACCGTTAAAGGATCTATGGTTTCCCATAGATGGTTGAGATATGGGGATTCATATGTGATTATAGCCCAATATAGAATATATTAGCAAATGTGATGGTTGTGAATAGAAATTTGGACCAATTCCTTTAACCATAATACTTTGTGTTAATTCGATGTCAACCAACATTAACCCATTGTTTGGCACGCTATAATGGGTGGGAATAAAATGCTCATTCCCACTTCTCATTCATGTGTACCAAACACAACAACTTTCTAGAAGCTAGAATGTCATTCTCACTAGTCACTTCTCAATCTTATGTGGGAATGAGCATTCCCAATGAGATAGTAGGGAATGGGCTTTCCCGCTTAAGTGGGAACGAAAATTTTGAAATAAATTCCAAATATGCCAAGATTTCTTATTAATTATCCATATAAAAAAATTGGCATTCCCACTTCATTCTCTGATTCCACGCAAAATGAGCATTTTATCCATTCCTTATTTCATTCCGTTCTCTCTTTGACTTAATTTCCGCATATCAAATGAAGCGTAAGGCTCATGTAACTCTCAGATAAGCTCGGATTAATGGCAGCAGTGTGTGTCCTACAAAATCCGGATTTGACGATGTTGCATAAAACTCCTGGCCGAGGCATATAAATAGCTTCCAAGAGATTTCATATTGCATCGCATAATGGATTTCAGATTATGCTGCACAATGTTTACTTATACCTACATTGCATTTTTAAGTTACGAACAACCTTCTGTTTACGCAATCCTTTACCATTTCATTTGCCAAATTGCACCATCCTGATCAGTAAGCAGGGCATCACAAATCACACATCAACTAATTAAAGGACATCGCCATTTGAACGTATTCAGAACCAAATTCAGAATCAAAATGTCAACAGATATCAATCAAAACACCAAATCAGCAGGCAAACAAAGATCCGCAACAAATCCCATCAGATCTAAGGAATCCATTACCTCATCTCAGATCCTAGGGTTTCGTCACTTAGCCACCATCCTCACAATGAAATCCTCGTACTTGATCGTCCCGTCCGCCGCCACGTCGACCTCCCTGATCCACTCATCGAACTCCGCCGGATCCAGCTTCTCCCCGATGCTCGTCAGCACGTGTCGCAGATCCGAGACCGACACGACCCCCGTCGCGTCCTTGTCGAGGACCTTGAACGCGTCCCTGAGCTGGCGATCGAACGGCTCCGGCTTCATGTGCTTCTTCATCAGGTCCAGAAAGCGCGGGAAATCGAAGGGCGAGGTCAGGCTCTCCGTTGTCACGATCTCCTTGAGCTGAGCTTGGGTAGGGTTACCGCCGAGGGATCGCATCAGGATCCCGAGCTCGGAGGGGGCGATCTTGCCGTCGCCGTCGGTGTCGAAGAGGGAGAAGGCCTCGCGCATCGAGGCGACTTGATCGTCGGTGAGCTCTTTCCCCATTTTTCTTTTTTTCCGATTTTTTTTGGGTTGTTTTTTATTTTATTTTATTTTTATTTATCTTTTCCCCCCGGATCTGTTTGATTTTTGGGGAGAGGAGGCGAAGTTGTTTATAGAGGGGGTTGGGGTTTAGGTTGGGCTAGGCCCAACAACAACCTTTCCTCTGTGGGCCACTTTACAAATTAGGCCTTCAGAAAAAAAAATTCCTAATCATTTATACATATTTATTCTTTTCTTTTCTTTTCTACTTGTTTACTTCGAGGACTTTCTAAAACATATAATAGAGCTTACTAATTAAGTATGTATTACATTTTATATCATAAAAACGTATAAATATGAAATGGTAATGTTTTTTCAATAAAAATAAATACAATAATAATTATTATTATGTCATAAACAATTTCAAATAAGCTAAGAAAAAAATATCACATATTAAATAAAAAATTATTTAAAGTCTTGGAAATATCTGTGATATGTAGGATGTTAAAATAATTACTTTCATATGAAAATTATAATAACCAAGTTTTAATGATGATTGTGTTAGACTTTATTGCCCCACGTCTTAAACCACTTTTAGTGGCCACGTTTTATTTATTTTTTTAACCATATTTTTGTTTCCACGTTTTCTTTTATATTTTAAGACGTTTTATCTTTTAGTTTATTTAATTGCTCATGTTTTATTTTAAATGCTAAATTCTTATTGGTCAATAAATGAAGAGATTGTCAAATAACTGCTCACGTTAATGGAACGTGGAGATAGTTGTTCTATTTAAAACTTGATCCTCTCTCTACCTAAAAACAACGATATACAATTTTCTTTCCATCAAGAAAATTCGTAGAATTTAAAAGGTCTAAGAGAGAGAAATTCAAGTCTTCAACGTAGTTCTTCTTGTAGTCAATTTCTCATCAATATTCGAATCATAGATCAATGTACGCTCTCTTAATTAATTGTTCGTTGTGAAAATCACCTCGTTCTAAGATCTTGGTATTATGATAATTAAATTAAAATTAAGTTTGATTTACTTAAATTGAGAATCTTGTTTACAGATTGCACGTTCAATAACAATAAATTTATTGATTTTACTGATTTAAAAAATTATGACTATGACCAAATTAACCAAGAAAAAAGTTACAACTGTTAGTTATTATTCCTAACATTTGTGAAATCTATCGCTCTTTTCTGATTCTTTGCATATATATAAACACTATACTCATACTGAAGTGCCGCTTAAAGATCTAATTTTGAGAGTAATATATTGAAACCATTAATTATGTCTTTAACTGTCCAACGTGAAATTAAAAAACTCAACCTTGCAAGTGGAAATTAAATATTTCATCATAATAAACTACAAGGTCACAAGCAACAGCTTGGTAAAATATTTAAAGCTTCTGCCTAAACCCAAAATTTTAACCCCTAATCAGGAGTGTATGGATGTTGTAAAATAGTTAAACTAGCTAGCTAATTAAATACTAATGACTTGTTTTGAGAAATAATATGCAAGTAGCTTCCCCATCCCAAAGAAAATGATCAAGATTGCCACGTAATTATAGTTAATTATACAACTTGAGTGCTGGATAGCTGTAGTTATACTCTAATGGCGTGGAGTAAATTGTCGGTTAGAATAGTTTATTTGGAGATTTTAACACGGCATCATGACTCATGGTAGAGCCACCTCAAACTTATTGTACATACGTATGAAAAAGAACGAGAATATAGTAGAATACACACACACATGTAAATGTCTGAACATATAACATGTAATCTGTATTTATGTATTGATCAGATGATTGAAAAATATTTTAATCTTAGATTAGTGGGATGTGATACAAAATATGTTATGTTCTAATATACATCGAGTATAGGCACTGTTTGGCAACAAGAGATTGTGTCTTATCTAAGAGATTGTGTCTTATTGACTTGGTCAATAAGCTAGTAGAGCTGTTTGGTGACAAAAAATAGGAGGAGATTATTTTGGAGATTGTGTCTTTTGCAAGTAGCTTTTGGAAAGCTACCTCAAGTAGCGTTTGTCTTTGGGAAGGAGTTGTTTTTTTTTCTTCCGTTTTTGCCCCTAATAATTCTAATTAATTTTATATCAATAATATTGCATATCTTTTTTAGTCATTTAACAAATTTAAGCTAGTTGTACAGCTGCTTTTGCCAAACAGCTCTAGTCAATCAGCTAGCTACACAGCTATCAGATTTCAGTTATAATTTCACAGTTTTCAGCTAGCTTAACAGCTTTCAGCCATAATCCCGCAGTTTTCAGCTAGTTTTGCCAAACAGAGCCTATATCAAAGGGCTACAAGTCAGCTAGCTCTTTGGGAGATGCATGCATACGCGAGACAAGTTGGTTACTTAAAAGAAATACACAGCATGTTTCCTAATTCATTACACCATAAATTAAACATGTTTTTTTTTATATAATTATTCAACGGCCGCGTAGAGAATAAAAGTGAAACCTAGACGGAGCTAAAGATTTCTATAGACCAGCTCACCGTGACATGGTAATGAAGATGGATTGCCTTAGAATTTTGTCTGTAATTAATTGTATTCATTAATTTAGAGATTAAGAGATGAAGTACGGTTCGACCGGAACCCGGGATTTAGAAAGCTAAATAAAAAAAAGGTTAATTACAGAAACCCCCGTAAAGTTTTAAAGAGTGGCAATAAACCTCCATCGACTTTTTTTCCATTATTATTAAGGACAAACTTTTAAAAGCACCCATTTTTAATAATTAAATATAAAAACGACCATTTGAAGAAAAAAAAAGTAGCAAAACCGACACTTTTCTGAAGAAAAATGTCGGTTTTGTAGTTGTTGTGATTTAGCAAAGTGTACGGGACTAGTAGTCTCGTACACTTCGTTTCTATTTTCCTCACGATAACAGAAATGAAGTGTATGAGGCTAGTAGTCTCGTACACTTCGCTAAATCACAATAACAGCAAAACTGATCGTTTTCTGAAGAAAATTGTCGGTTTTGCTAATTTTTTTCCCAAATGATCATTTTTACTATTTAAATATTAAAAACGGGTACTTTTAAAAATCTGTCCTTATATTAAACCCCGTAAAAGTTTTGGGGAGTTGCAGGTAGCTCCAATTGACCGTACTTCACAAACACAACGAACACGGATAGTCATTAGTTCACTCACTACCAAATATCAATGATAATTTCCGAGATGAACTCAATCATTAATATTTTTCTCATAAATAAATTAATCGCCCTTCTTTCCCTCTACACGAAGGGATGAACATTGACTCCTTGAGATCGATGTGTGCTCATAGAATTGAAATGAAGAGGACAAACTAAAGTACATGTTTAGTACCACATTTTAGTATTAAGTTGCACGTTAAGACTTTTTAAGGGTTGAGCTGCCACAAACTCAAAAAGAAACACGCGGAAAGTCAACTCTTGTTGGATGTAGAAAAAGAACAAGTTGGTCACTTGAAAAATGTCAGCATGTTTTTAATTCCATTTACGCCACACAAACTAAACATAGTTTTTTTTTTTTTAATCCAACGGCGGCAGAGAATGAATGCAACCTCAAAGAAGCACCTCAGCATTTAAAAAAAAAAAGGCAAAAGGTTGATGAGCGCTTGGACTTTGTCTATTGCATTCATCAATCTAGGGAGCTTTTGTTCATTTAAAAAAATAAATTAAAATGATTGCGGTTTGATAAGGACAAACTTAGAGTCTAGAGATAGACGCATCTATGTTTTTAGTTTTCATTCCCCATGCACATTTTGAATGGACCGCTGATCTACACGAGAAATACATTAACATTTTTTTCTCAAAAAAAATACATTAACATTTTAGGACCTTACGATTCATTCAAGGTAAGTGTTTCACATGTGCACCATATCTTTACTATCAATCTGCTTTTAAATCAATACAAATCGCAATTATTTACTAAATCACAAATGACTATGATTCACGAACACAGTGTTGCATTGTCTTTTGATAGTAAAGAGAATCTGAATTCCTCAAAAGACATAACAACTTGGATGTTCTAGTTATTTTTTAAATAAATAAATAATTAATTTTTGACTTATTTTCGTAGTTTCAAGATGATAGCAACTATAGATATTTTTCCCCGCACTTGTCGTCATGCCCTATAATTTCACTAACGTTGCATTTTAATGCCTCCTATTCTAAATCAGTCCTCTTAAATGCCCAAAGGTGTTTAAGTGTTGCAGATAAATGCACCAAAAAAATTTCAAATTGTTGCGCGTTAGTGACATCTTGTTCGTCCAACGACGTTGCATGTTGGTGGTCTCTTGTTTACCCTATGTTGTATATAAATATCCTTAATATGTAAACGGCTTCATTTAAATACGCTAAAAAAAACTTATAAAATTTTCAATTTAGTAGGCTATGTTATGTTATATTGTTTGCTATGTAGAGAAAAGTTAACACCATCCATGTTATTTTCTACTACGTACAGGGAACTCATATGTGACACTTGAATACGCTCAGGCCTTTTTTTGCTCGATTTTAAAATAAGTGTCACTTAAGTGCAAGGCTAGTGAAACTGTAGGATATTTATGTGCAATTTAGATGATCATATGATATTTTCGTTTAGCATATGCAACGTAAGACTATCTCCAACAGGAGATATTTGGGGGGGTTTTTTGCTCCAGCGGGTGGCTTTCAAAGGGGTGAAATGGAAAACCGGAGACCAATGGGTGAAATTTTCACCTCCGGTTTTTCTCTCCGAGTGGGTCCCGCAACAGTAGATCAACAATTAAAGAGAGCCATGTGTCAAGGCTTGATTGGTTGGGGTCTTTTTGTTTTACTCTTAACTTTTAAATGATATTTTGGGAGATAAATACTAGGAATTAATTTATAATTTTTATATCAATAATTTTTATTTTTTCACCTCTATAAATAGATATTAGTCTTGTGTAATTTGGAGACAAAAAAAAAAACTGAGTTTTCAATACCTTATTCTCCTTCTCTTTGCTTTTGCTTCTATATTCTTCAAACTTTTTCGTATGGATCCTTCACAAAATTATCTTAATTTCTCCTGCAATGTGTGTTTTCTTTAATGTTTTCAATAATTTGTGTGTGTTTGACTTTTCCGTATGCTTAATA